CTTTTAATTTCTTGGCTGCAGTCCCCGCCTGCAGTGATCTTGGAGCCCAGGAAAATAAAATCTGTCACTACCTCCATTTCTTCCCCATCTATTTGCCAGGAAGTGATAGGACCAGATGCCATGATCTTAGTTTTCTTAATGTTGAGTTTCAAGCCAACTTTTGCGCTCTCCTCCTTCACCCGCATCAAGAGGCTCTTTAGTTCCTCTTCACTTACTGCCATGAGAGTGGTATCATCTGCATAGCTGAGGTTGTTGATATTTCTCCCAGAAATCTTAATTCCAACTGGTGATTCATCTAGGCCCACCTTTCTCATGATATGCTCTGCATATAAGTTAAATAGGCAGGGCGACAGTATACAGCCAAACTCCTTTCTCAATTTTGAACCGATCAGTGGTTCCGTGCCCAGTTCTCACTGTTGCTTCTTGACCTGCAAGAAGGTCCTTCTTGACCTTCTTGACCTTGACCTTGAGGTTTCTCAAGAGACAAATAAGATGGTCAGGTACTCCCATCTCTTTAAGAACTTGCCACAATTTGTTGTGATCCACACAATCAAAGGCTTTAGCATAGTCAATGAAGCAGATGTTTTTCTGGAACTCCCTAGCTTTCGCCATGATCCAGTGTATGTTGGCAATTTGATCTCTAGTTCCTCTCCGTCTTCGAAATCCTGCCTGTACTTCTGGTAGTTCTTGGTCCGCATACATCTGGAGCCTAGCTTGTAGGATTTTGATCATAACTTTGCTAGCATGTGAAATTAGTGCAATGGTGCGGTAGTTTGAACATTCTTTGGCATTGCCCTTCTTTGGAATGGGAATGTAAACTGACCTTTTCCAATCCTGTGGCCACTGTTGAGTTTTCCAAATTTGCTGGCATATTGAGTGTAGCACTTTTGCTGCATCGTCTTTTAAAGTTTTTGAATAGCTCAGCTGGAATACTGTCACCTCCACTAGCTCTGTTGTTGCTCAGACTTCCTAAGGCCCATTTGACTTCACATTCCAGGATGTCTGGCTCGAGGTCAGTGATCACCCCATCATGGTTGTCAGGGACGTTAAGCTCTTTCTTGTATAGTTCCTCTGTGTAATCTTGCCATCTCTTCTTAATCTCTTCTGCCTCTGTTACTTCCCTGCCATTTTGGTCCTTTATCATGCCCATATCTCCAATTTTCTTGAAGAGATCTCGGGTCCTCCCTATTCTATTGTTTTCTTCTATTTCTTTGCACTGTTCATTTAAGAAGGCATTCTTATCTCTTCTAGGTATTCTCTGGAATTCTGCATTCAATTGGGTGTATCTTTCCCTTTCTCCCTTGCCTTTCGCTTCCCTTCTTTCCTCAGCTATTTGTAAAGCTTCCTCAGACAGCCATTTCACTTTCTTGCATTTCTTTTTCTTTGGGATCGTTTTAGTTGCTACCTCTTGTACAATGTTGCAAACCTCCATCCATAGTTCTTCAGGCACTCTATCAGATCTAATTCCTTAAATCTGTTTGTCACCTCTACTGTATATTCATCAGAGATATGATTTAGGTCATACCTGAGTGGGCTAGTGCTTTTCCCTACTTGTTTTGAATGACCCACACCTTCGCAAGCAATAAAACTAAAGTCTTTTATTGCTACTTATCTACAAGATTTACAACTCTACAGATAAGCTCTACTGAAAAGATTTTTACAATGCAGATGCTAACTCCTTAGTGACTCTCTCAGGGACTAGC